GTACATTGATTGCTTCTAATATAGAAATATTGAAGTAAATATCGTATATTTAGAAGTACCATCATTGCTTCTTATATAGAAATATTGAAGTAAATATCGTATATTTAGAAGTACATTCATTGCTTCTAATATAGAAATATTGAAGTAAATATCGTATATTTAGAAGTACACTCATTGCTTCTAATATAGTAATATTGAAGTAAATATCGTATATTTAGAAGTACATTCATTGCTTCTAATATAGTAATATTGAAGTAAATATCGTATATTTAGAAGTACATTCATCACTTCATAATATAGGAATATTGAAGTAAATATTTTATATTTAGAAATACATTCATCACTTCATAATATAGGAAGTAAATAGTTCGGCAACACTTCCTGAACGGATTTTATGATCCCATTTCAGATACTTTTATCCTCTACAATATCTAGTTTATTTATTGTCTTACTTATTTACAAATATATTCTATCGGTGATATGAGTTTGAAGCTATGATTAAACGACAGAGAAAAAGATAAATGGAATGATAAATAAAAAAGATAGAAATCAGATATAGTTATATATATATACATATATGTATTATATATTATATAGATAAATAACAACAACAGAAATTGATATATTTTATTCATAGAGAATAGAATATATAGAGAGGAATTTACTAGAAAAAAGTGTAAATTGGCCATTTTGTTGTACTGTTTCCATACTGCAGGTGTACTTCACATATTTATGCTATATAACCTGTTGGGCCCTGGANATTATCTTTTTTAAAAAAATATTATTTTTAGGTTTTTTACAAAATCTTTTCATTTTTCTGAACTATGCATCTTGGCATATTATTTCTGGTCTCTATTTTCATGTTTTGCAATTTTAGTAGTTTTAATGTCTGCTTATTTGTACCCAAAATCATGTGAAAACCTAAAAATGGCGAATAGTTTGTTCCCATTTTCTGTGATTTAGCTGTGAAGTCGAAGCTAAATCCAACCTCAGATGTGATTTCCATCAGCTGATGTTCAGCTGATATTTAGCTCCGACTTCAGATCTAACATAAGCTTCGATCTTGCTCTGATTTTGGACTAACGAATACAAAATCATAGCTAAGCTAGGAAGTCGCAGCTAAATCATAGCTAGAACCGGACAAAGAAACCGGGCTATAGTATCCTGTGGACCAACGTGGTTTGTTAACTTTTAAATAATGTAATGTTTTGTTTAAAAAGTCTTCGTCACAGTTATAATGCTGAGTATGTTATATTTTCCTTATTCAAATAAGGAATTATTGGATATTTAACTGCTAAATCTTTCTGTGATTTACGATATTCTAATCTTTTATTTTTGCTACACTGAATCCTTGTCAATAAACGTAGAAGACTCAACTAGTCTTATTATGGAGAGTTCTTCAACTAGGAGAGAGGATTCCAGTTGAAAGCTTTGCATGAATACTACCCGGTAGACTTTTTAGCTTATTTACGACATGTTGCGAAACATATTGATAAAGTTTAGATATAATTAAGGAAGAAACTATATATATGACATCGTCAAGAAAATAAAGGTAGATTTGTATGAAAATGGATAAGGTATAGATAGATAGATATATAAATAAATGGGAAAGGTATAGCAGGGTTAATTAGGAAGGCTAGGTAAATATTTAGATAAATATATAGATAGAAATATAGATAGATAGATATAAATTTAATAATGATATATGGAAAAGATAGATGGTTAAGAAAAGATAGATAGATAGATAGATAGATATATAGTTAGATAGATAGGTAGATAGTTAGATAGATAGATAGATAAGCTAGATAGATGGTTAAGGATTGATGTTGTGGAACAGATTTCAACATTTATATTTGCATATAATAAGAAGTATGGTGAATAAGATAGATAGATAGAATATGGTAAATATAAGATCAAACCTAGGGATTACTTTCCTGGAGAGAGGGGGTGAAATAATATCTCTTTCCATTTATTTATTCATCTGTCTATCTATCTTTTTCTCTGTCCATATTTCTGTCTAACAATTTAACAATTTATTTATCTATCTGTCTTCCTGTCTTCCTATATTTTTCTATCTTTCAGTTGTTCTAAAAAAATACTGCTGATTTTTCTAATTTCAATTTTTTCTCTGTTAAAAATATAATTTATGATGTATTTCTGATTTAAAATAAAAAAGGTTTATTTGTTGGAATACAAACATGTCTGAAAACTATTATGCTATAAGATTTATAGATTAGAAGTCAAATTAATATATATATGGATTTAACTGTGGAAATTATAAATATTTTTTATTTCTTCAAATGTAGAAACGAATCTTTATTATTTCGAAAGTGGCGGATTTTCAGTATTTTCACAATATTTTTACGTTTCATTGTTCACAGGACTATCATTTAAAATCAAAATTTGAATATTTCTATTCCATAGTTTTATGGGTCACATTTTATAATTATTGGTGTAAATCCTTGAAAAGAAAGGAAACAGTCAATTCTGAATTTTTCTGAACTTTATCGTGTTTTCGGGTCATTTGGTGCAAATTGAAATTCTAAGGCGAGAAAGGGGAATTATATGCATAAACAGTACTGCAGAACAGTTATGATCACATATATGCATTAACAGTACTGAAGTACAGTTATGATCACATATATGCATCAAAAGTACTGCAAAACGGTCGTTTCAAGGTAAATTTTAAAACAAACAAACAAGAAACATGTTGAGTAAACCATGAAAAATAATATATAAAACATTACGAGGCATTTATATCTTAGCAAAGTTGATTTCAAAACAATAATGAAATATGTTTAATTGGCAGATTTGTTTATTAAGTCTCCGTCAACAAAAGTTGAGCAAAATAAAGCCCCATGCGAATTTACGTTATTGTGCAAATTCTGTTAATTGTTGCAGTAAAAGTCAAAACACTTTGTTTTTAAGTTTCTTGACTAATTTTTTTTCAAGGAGTGATAGTCGTCTTTATTTTAATATTTGATTTGCAATTCTCTGCAACATATTGGGGATACAGGAATTTTCTATGGGTGAGCCAACTCAAAATATCCTCTCAATTTTCTGTAGCTCTCCAAAATGCTTTACTGGGGAGAATTTTTCAGGGGGTGAGCCTGCTGATCTATGAGAGGCTCACCTGCACGGGCTCACCCCTGTATCCAGGCCTGCTGCAGTGCAGCCATAGCTTCCATGGAGGTTTATTCTTTGTAATTTATAATTTAAAATGCCTAAACTATTTATTTAAATTGCTGTGTGAATTAGAAATATTTGATTATGATCTCTTGTTAATGTTTGACAGTAATATAATTTAACATTATTAACGATGACTTTATCGTCAATGTTTTATAATGTCGTCTTCAAAAAGAGAAAACTTAAGGCGGACAAATCTTGGTACCCGCCAAGGTTGTTTATCAAAGTTAAATACTCGGGATGCGCTCCAATTTACGGGAAATCGGAATCGGAATCATTGCAATGACACTTGAAATCCTCATACGGTGGTAAGCGATTATGTCACTACAATAAAGACGACTTTTTAATTAAGTTTTATTTTTAACAAGCTTTTTTTAAATTACAAGTTTACATGCAATCAAAGAGAAGCTTTTTTGAATAATAAATTTCTCTACTTCTATGATTCTGTGTATCCATGCTAACAGCATAATTTAAATCAAAATTGATTTCGAAAGTCGTCTTCATTGTATTGGTATAATTGCCTACCACTGTATGACGGACCATGAATATTGGCGAAGGATTAAGTGACAATTTTTTTACAGCTGACAAGCGGAGAAAATACTTCTTCTCTCTCACCAGCAACTTTGTCACTTCAGCTGCTGCCAATAGACAGTTACGTCGTGGGGATTTTGAGTGTCCGGATTGCAGTGAAGACGACATTTCCCGCGTACATTTGAGCGTGTCCAGAGTTATCAACCTGAATAAAAACCTTGCTACCCACTCATCTGTGACTATGTAATAATCACCAAGTCAAGTTGTCCTCACCGTAACATCTTGTTTTCAAAATGAAAAATTAATTTCTTTTTAATGCTGTTTGGGACATTTCTCGAGTTTTCTTGTCTTCTTGTGTAAAAACTATTTTTTCAATTTGTTTTCATATTCTGACTTTAAGGTCTACAAAAACTGAGAAATAAGGCACCGTTTATTTGTGCTAATTCTTAAATCCACGGTTTCAATTTAATGACTACATTTCATGAATGCCATATTTGAGGAGCATTCACACTTTAGACCAATGGTAGTTCTTACTCTCGATGGGCTCCAATGTACGGGAAATGTCGTCTCCCAACCAATGGACAGTTAAAGCTAACAAGGTCAAATGCTATAATAAATTTTTATATTTCCATTATTCATCCATAAAGACAAAACGACATGAAATAGTATTTATGATTTGATACTGGTGCAAAGCCTAATAAAGCTTCTATTTTTTAAATTTTATTTTAACTACTTTTTCCTCCATAATTTGATCAAGGATTGGTAAGGTATACGAGAAGATTCAATATACACGGGATAGGTAAGTAGGTTTGAAGTATATTCTACCATGATGTGCAATTCTAATTCATTATCTGTATTAATAATATTATTCTCTTAACTATTTTGTACGTTGACCCAGCCGGGCTAGCCCGGTCAGTTCATTTTACCTGTTTATAAATAAAGTAGTTGAATATCATTAGTTGATTAGAACGGACGTATACAGAGCCTTGAGTTTTGGCTAGAGATTTAGTTAAAGGGAATCTCATTAGACTTTGAGTTAAGTAATCGTTAGAGAAGTAGCGTCTAGATTTGTTACAGGTTTCTATGAAAGACGTAACTTCGTGGAATAATATCATCCGTTTCAAAAATGTAAAAAAGGTAAGCATAATTTCAAGCAACCCTTAGGGCAAAGATGGCAAATGGAAATGTCCAAATCACTGGTACCATTAAAAGCTTTCTCTGATTAAGTATGAATTAGACACTCTAAAGTGAGTTCTCGATGCGTACTCCAGTAATACACTGACCGAAGAAAAAGTAAGATTTATTGAAGAGTGTTTTAAGTTGTTTTCTTACAAAAGTGATAAAAACGTCAATGTCTTCCATAGTATTGATCAGATAAAGATTTCGAGGGTACAATTGTGAATTGAGCATTACCCTCTTTGCATGGAGGGTAACTGTGTAGAGATTCTTGTACAAACTGGCTGAATCCCGACCACTTATGTAGCTTGGGCTTCCTCAGTGCTCCAGTCAACTACTCAAACTAAAAAAGTTATTGTTCATATTTTTCTTAGATTAAACATAATTTAAAATTTCAAAATTTTTTTATGGAAATTAGTAAAGAACTGTGACTTTAAGGAAAATTTTTTCATACAGTAGTCATCGTATTTCTCAAAGCAATATTAAATTAAATTAAATTAAGAAAATTATTTTTTCTTTCCACCGTTTTCTTATTTTCTACTGTGATCGGAACTCTTTTTTTCATCCGCAAATGTCTTTTTGTGGAGCTCCGGCATCGGATGATTAAAAGCTGTCTTTTTTTAGTCCGCAATTGTTTGCTGTCGGAGTTTGACTCCATCGTCGGATCAAAACTAATTTATCAGTCCGTCTGAAGAACTTTGAGGATGAAAAGACAAACTGTTTCTTCCGATATGAAATCAAAAAGGATGATAAAAAACGAGGGCCCGCTGAAAAGCGCGCTCATTTGTCAAATCTTAGCCAGTTTAATTCATTTCTTCAAGGTGTAAGCACGCTGCTCAATTTGTTCAGAAAGTTTCTACATGATGAGATCTGCATGACCTTTATAACAATTGCGAAATTTTTTAAGTCATGGAATGCTCTTTATGTATAATAATAAAGAATTTTCCATGATTTAGCTGATTAGCATTAATCATCAATCTTCAACTTCAACCCTCAAAACAGTCAACAATTCAGTCATTNGGGGGGGGGAGGACTTTAAATCATCCGTTCATGGGAGTTTCAAAACTGCCACATAAAACTTGTCCTTTTTCTCTACAGGTGTCGGTCTACCGATCGTTAGACCGATCGGTTCATCCGACCTGTTTGCGCTATCGATCTCCGCTTCATGTACGATCGGAACAGATCGGAATGGAAAATCGGAGCGATTTCATTCCTACGCCGGAATTCCTCAAGTCAGAAATCGGAATTCCGATCGAGAGAAATTTTCCAGCTGGGTACAGACGACTTTCAATTTCAATTTCGGATTTCGAACAAGCCTGTGGATATATGTAAACATGGAAACAAAGAGATTAACAGATTCCGTTGTTGACTTGTAACTTGTAACTTGAAAAACGTTTTGTAGAAATAAAAACGTTAATAGAAAAGTCGTCTTTATGTAGTGATATAAACATAAACAGCGAGAATTTCAATAAAATCTATAAAATGTCGCAAATATATCATAAAAATTAATACAAAATGCTTACCTTTATATTAATATTTTGGTCTAGATCCTATGATGAGAAGATTAGAAAAATGTTGATAGAGTCCCCATTTCTCTATTTCGTTCTCCCTGAGGAAAAAAAATAGTTGAATTAGTCAAAAATATCGAAATAACTAAAAAAATTTAAGTTCTAACTAGATTTTAAAGAAATTATAACATAATTATTGAATAATAAGAAATTATTGTTCTCTTGCGGATTATCTAGGCTCTGCAGAGCCCATGGGGTAGCACAGGCGAAGAGTTTTAAATTTGTTTAGTTTTTTCTCAAATAGATCAGATGGAAATAAAATTGGTGTCAACATCAATTCTTAGAGGGACAGACCGGCTATGTAAGGTAGTAAAACTGAGCATGCAGTGTTGTGGACAAATTCTTTAGGATTCATTTGAAACACATAAAACGTTTCCGCAATGTATAATTCCTGAGTTTAAGTTGACGTTCAAAATCATGAATTTTGGTGGGTACGTTTCCAGAATTTTTTTTTTATTTTTAAATAACGACGACGAAAAATATAGTAAAATTTTTTTGGTAAGCTAATTAGATGTTTAGGAACATATTTCTCAAAATAAGTTTGTCAATAAATCGAAGTTAGAATTAATTATTTCGTTTTACATCATTATGTTGAATTTCTTATTTTCTATGAATTTGTTCGTAGATTTCTTACAATTCTTCAAATGTCGTCTTTTTAATAAAAATTCAAGAAAATCTTTGTGATTAAAGAGAGATTAAGGAAACTAATAATTGAATAAGATTACTTATTTTCGAGTTAATTTTCATTTTCTCAACCTGTTCCTAAACAACTTATTAGTTTACTGTAGAATTTTGTGAGTCACGGAAGTTCGTAGTAAGATTTTGACTCCACTGGAGACCACCGGAGGGAATTCATTTTCACTGGAGGGGTTAGAAAAAATGCTTTTTACAATTCAAAACTTTACGGAGGGTGATTTACATTCCACTGGAGGGATTCAGATGTCCTTCCAAGGGGTTTATAATTCCACTGGAGGGATTCAGATATCCTTCCAAGGGGTTTATAATTCCACTGGAGGGATTCAG